TCCCTTTGCAGCTGCGGGGGCAGCGTGTGCAGCGCCGCCTCTCTCCTTTGCACGCTGGCGCTCTTTCCTGGGTGATGGGCTTTGTAGTCCGAGGCGTCTGGAGGGGTCCGGATTAAGGGGCGCTGATTGGCAGTCGCCTACCCGTTGGGCTTGCTTAGTCATTTATTATTAGTAACTCTTGGCATTCCGGGCGATGGTCGCCTGCCCCTCAGACCTGCTGTGCTTCCTTGGGAGTCACTTTCCGCCCTCAGGTTTCTCTAAGAGCAACTTGGGGCAGGTTTCCTGTGCATGTGATGATTGCCAGCCGAAGGACTGGCTTCCCCGAGCTGCCTTTACAGAAGTGCTTTTCAGACCTTGGTGCTGGACTCAGAGCAGGCACCCGCCTGAGGATTTCCTGACTGATACCTCAAACGTTGCTCAAGCAGAGCAGCCGGTTTCTTTCAAGCACATCGGCCATCACGAACTTCGCAAAACTAAAAAGGGCAAATAGAAAAGAAGGAATAGAGATCAGAATCAGTTAGCAGGGGAAGAAAGGGGTAGGGAAGAAAATTCAGGGAGATGCCTTAGGACTTTGTTTTTATTTATTTTATTCATTTATATATCAAGTTTGTCACCGCCTGTCTCGTTGAAAAGTAAAACGTTTAGTTTTCAGAGGCCAAGGAGCATTAGATACTTAGCAATAATATGTTTGCATTGGTGTTGATGCTGTGAAGTGCCTGACTGACTATTTCATTCTGTTGGACAGGTGATGGCCCAGATCCTGAAAGATACGGGGATTACAGAGTACGAGCCGCGGGTTATAAATCAAATGTTGGAATTTGCGTATAGTAAGTGATCCCTTGGTTGTCTTCATGTATTCATACACCTTCCTGGTTGTTCACTCTCTCACATAGAGGCAGGATGTATAACAAATATCCTTTAAAAAATGTTGGAACCGATTCCATCTCCTTGATCAACTTGAGCTTAGATGCCTCAAATTAACCCAGATAAAGTAGGGTTTCCAGACTTCCTACCACGAAATGAAAGGAGGTAGGAGCGCTAGGAGGACCAAAATCTCTGACTCAGATCTTTGTAGAGCATAGGGCTGTGCAAAAACCTTTTGTTCTGGGACATTTTGAGTTTTCCAGAAGTGGTCTGATCTTGATGGAATGTTTTGCACACCTTGCCCTATAAAAGAGGGTCTTGAAGCTGGCTTGTTCTCTCCGATGTTGTGAAACTCTGGATTCCTTCTGTCTGCAAACCTTGGATTTGTATTTCTGTCTTCCCTAGCTGGGCTGTCATTCTGCTGATTTTCTCTTCCTCCCTTTCTTCTGAGTTATCCCTGATCCTAATCTTGCTTCCTGTGGCCTCTGTTTTCTCCTTTCCTTGCATAGCTTGGTCTTCTCCTTGGCTCTTCCACCCTCGGCTATTCCTATTCCAGGACACGATTTGATCTATTACGGGTCATGCCATTTGGGGATGAGGGGTGTTCTAATTTAGCATATTGGGAAGGCTTTAAGCTTTGTGTGTCTGTCTCGGCTTTTGGACTACCGCTGTGTAGTTCAAGGATCAAATTCTTTCTTGTAGCATGAAGCTCACTGGGCTATCTTAGACCATTCAGGTTACTCTGCCTTGAAGGGTTGGGTGAGGATTAAATGGGAAAGTATCTGTGAAGACAGCCATCGAGGGAGGCCAGGGTAAAGGTCTGATTAATAATAATTCATGTCATTGAGGTTGTATTGGCTGAGTTTATGGGAATTCTTTGATGTGTGTCCCTATTGGTTTGTGAATGGTTTGAAATTTTGTCTTGGGAATAATAAACAGGGAATTTGTCATGAGAAAACCCAGTTCCGGAAACACGGCATTTTGCAGGTGGGAGGAGAGGACAGGCTGCTGTGCATCTGGTTCAGTTGGCTTGAACATCAGCCACACAGCTGTCCTTTCAATCTCAGCATTTTGTTTCCTGAAAGGATACGTGACAACTATCTTGGAGGATGCCAAAATTTATTCCAGCCACGCAAAGAAGTCGAGCGTCGATGCAGACGATGTGAGATTGGCCATCCAGTGCCGGACAGACCAGTCATTCACCTCCCCACCTCCCAGAGACGTATGCTTTGTGTCTTTCAAATCTTGCCTTATGCTGGGGAAAGGGAATCCCTCTTTTTGGGAGGGAGGGATCTGTAAGCAGAGCTTCCTGGGAATGCTTCAGAAGGGCCTCTGCCCCAAGAAGCTGGCACATGACTTTTCAGTGGCAGGCTGGGGATGGAGGGGCAAACAGGTAAAGGTATGTAAGCTGGCTTGAGTTGCATCCCGGAGTCTGGGCTGTCATTTGGCAGGAAAAGGTCCTATTGCTGCTAAAGGGAGCGTTGGGGAGGAGGGGTACTAATGTTTAGTAAAATGTCTCTGTGTCTCATAGTTTTTGCTGGATATTGCAAGACAAAAAAACCAAACTCCCTTGCCTTTGATTAAACCATACTCTGGGCCAAGATTGCCACCAGACAGATACTGCCTTACAGCTCCAAATTACAGGCTGAAGTCTCTGCAGAAAAAGGTCAGTAAGTTTACTTAAATCAACCCTATAACTGAATGAATGCTGTTTCCCTTGGTGGGGTAGAAAATATTCTTAAGAGGCTGGCTATTAGAATCGTGGCCTGCTTCCCTGTTTATAGCCTCTCAGTTTAATCATTTAGATCAGCATGCTGGCGGGGGAACTCTGGGAGTTGAAGTCCACCTATCTTAAAGTTACCAAGGTTGAAAAACGCTGCTTTAGACTGACATATCTTTGCATTGAAGCTTTTATGCAATTCATATTCTTGAGGCAGCCTTCCCCAAACTGGAGGGCTCCAGATACGATAGACTTCAACTCCCAGAAGGCCCCAGCCTGGTAAGTTGACATGAGGGTTCTGGTTGAGGAAAGTTGCTTTAGCATCTCCTTCCAGATCCAGATCTGAAGGCCATCATCCTTGGAAAGGATGTGTGAATGTAGAGTGGAGAGAGCTGATCCCCATTGGGGTTAATCATGGACTACCCAAGTGTTACAAGCAGAGAGGATTTTCAAGCGAGCGTGCCGACGTTTCCCAGTTTCCTGCTTGCAAGCACAGAATCTGGCAGTCTGCCTTCTGTGCCCCGTAACCCTCACTGGGCTTCCCAGGAAGAGCCCACGGAAGATGAGGGTGCAGGATGAGGCCCGTGGCAAGAAGAGCAGGCCTGCCTGGGGTTTTCCTGCACAGGCAGGGTAGCGTCCCTGCTTTTCTTTCTGGGTTGCTGACGCCTCTCCAAACAGGCTTTGCGATTCCAGCCAACTCTCGGTCCTGCTTTTTCCCAGGTCGCGTCCTCTGCCGGAAGGATCACCGTGCCACGGCTGAGCGTCGGCGCTGTCACCAGCAGGCCCAGCACGCCAACCCTAGGCAAGCTGTCCCTCCAGTTTCCTTGGGCTGTGCTTTGGTCTGCCTCTTTTCTTCTGATAGTTTCTGTCGGCAGGTGCTTCCTTCTCCACTCAGCGTCCTCACTGAGAGCTTTGCCCCTTAGAACTCATGGCTGGCTTCTTTATATGTGGCTGTTCCAAGATGTTCCAGCAGGTGGCAGCACCTTGCCAGGCTTGGCTGATCAAGGTGCAAACTAATAGGGTTGGGTCTTTTAATACCTGGATGGGAGACCACCAGGAGGCCATCAGATTTACAAAAAAAAATAAAAATGTAAAAACATCTCAGAAGAAGACAGTGGGAAACCACTGTGGTCTTCTTGCTTATTTCTTGCATCTTTCCATGTGTCCATGAAATCAATCACCAGCTTCCATCAAAAGAGACTTGACTGTCCTTTTTTTCCAGAGGAACTGATTATAAGCGGGCTCATAACTTGCCAAATGCATATTTATTTATTTGTTGAATACATATGGCCACCCATCTCAATTGTATGACTCTGGGCAGCTAACAGTATTTAAAAACAGAATAAAAACAATATAACATAAATAGCAGCCAGGAAGAAACAACAGTAGTATGCAATGCCTTGTTCCAGAACTACTGAAATACCAACATCCATTTCAATAATCATGCAGGTCTTAATCAATATTAAGCAATCTAGCACTGTTTAATATGGAAAAATAATTCTCTCCAGCTGAGGATGAGCAACACAGAATCTCTAGCTGACATCTATTGACCCACTCCCCCCCCATAAAAATAGCTGGATTTCAGAAGATCTCTGTGGTCTTGTGTGGGATCGTGTGACGATTTGGCCAGCTCTGATTTATATGTGATACTGTGGTGAAAGTGTTGGGACGGCCCTGGGGAGACCTAGGTTCTTGTTCCCCCTCAGTCACAGAAGTTCCCTGGGAGGACTTTTGGCCTGTCCCCCTCTCTTGGACTAGCTTGCCCTGCAGGGCTGTTTTGGGGAAAAATGGGAGAGAAGAGTAGGCCGTTCCATGCTCCTAAGCGAGAAACGAGAGAGATTTAACAGAATAAATCAATTGCTTTATTTGGGGGTACCTGCTCCGCTCTCTATAAATTCCCCAGGAGTGATTTCCAGAAGTTAAATAAGCTGGGGGTGGGCTGGACTTTTCCCAGCAATATGGAACTTATTGCAAGCTGGGGGGGGAAATGAACCAAGCCAGTGGGGGGTGGGGGGCTTCCAGGGTTTAGGGTGAGATGTTCCTTCGCTTGCTGCAGTTCCAGTCTGACCTGCCTCACCTCTAGCCTTAAACTTGTTGTTGTAACTTGCAGGACCACCCTCGGCACAGGCGGTGTCCGTTTCGACGAAAGTGGGGACTCCCGTCTCGCTGACGGGGCAAAGGTTCACCGTCCAGATCCCCACCTCCCAAACATCTGTAAAATCAGGTGAGAGGCTTGAGTGTCTCTTTTGGGTGGGTGGGGGGAAGAAGGGAGGGGTGCTGGGGTGGGACAATCTCTGTGGCCCTGCTGCTTTTTCCGATTTTATTTTCTCTGAAATCTGCTGTGAGGATGTGGTTGTGAAGAAAATGTGTCGGTTGGGTGCAGATGGTATCCTTGGCTTGCGTAGAGGAGCAGAGAACTCTCTCTCTGCAGTCCGTGTGTGAGGGCTGAACACACAGTGGAACCCGGTTTCTCTTTCTTGTGTTGTAATGGTATACATTACATTATAATGTATTATAATTACAACATTATAACGGTGTTATGATGACTTCCTGCAGGAGCAGGCATGTGAATTGGTGGGCATGCATTGCTGGGGATTTCCTTCGTGGCGGTCAGATGGGAGGAACTGTAATCTGACCTTCAGATATTCGTCAGTTCCCCTTATTGTATCAGCCCCAGCCCAGGGCTAAATTGTGGCCAGGTCTGTCAGCTCGAAAGCTTCTTCAGTGAAATTGTCCGAGTTTTTCTCTTAGCCTGTCTCCCTGACTTGTTGCCAAGATGAATGATGCCGGTTTTATTGGAAGAGGTGGGACAGAAAACAGCCATGCAGTCATTTGTTGTGCCTGGTTATCCCCAGAAGGATTTGGGTTGTTGGGCATGGTTGAACCAAGGAATATAAATTGCATTTAGTAGATAAGGCAAGTCAACTGGGGTTGGTCATTAACAGCATTTTGCCCCCTCGGTCACAGAGATTGGGGCAAGGATCTTATAGAAACTATAGAGATACTACACTTCCCTTGTCTGATTTTTGGGATTTAAATGGTCATTCCACTTCCCGTCTTCCTTTGATTCTGCTCAAGGCATAAACAGGGATCTGCCTGTAGAAAATGGCCAGCCTCACCTGTGTTTCAGTTTCTGAGAGGTTATGGAGTCTTCTGATAGTAATGTCGATCTAATGAACCTGGAGTCCTTTAATAAGGCTGGAAACCTTTGCCTTATTTTTTAAAAAAGGAAAAAAAGTGGGCGCGGGAATCCCAGGGGGCTGCCAAATCTTGCGACAGCAGAGGGATGGGAAGCCGACAGTCCTGGATCTAGGAAAAAAGCAAGTGCTTCTGATCAGCTCTGCTCACACTAAACCAGAAAAAAAGAAAAAGGAAAAAGCTAACTATGCTTAGAATCCAGTATGTTGCGCTGTGAGGTCAGATCATGGTTTGGCATGTACTGTGGAATCAAAATGCAGGGCCCAAAGCAAATAATCAAGGCTCACTGCAGTATTGATTAGACCAGGGTTTCTCAACCGTGGCAACTTGAAGATTTGTGGACTTCGACTCTCAGAATTCTGGGAGTTGAAGTCCACACATCTTCAAGTTCCTAAGGCTGAGAAACACTGTATTAGTCAGTATGTACTGGAGGGGACCCCACCCAAAGGATAGCGAGAAACACCCTTGCAAAGAAAGGGATTTATACATTTCAGGAAAACGGAAATAATGTCAGGATACACATTCATGAGGCGATGCAGCCATACCTATTTGTAAGTAATAGGTTTCGGGTTACTTCCGGCCCTTCTGCTATCCACCATCTACCAAGAACACAATAGTCTTACTGAAAAGAAACAAGTCAAAGGGAGGGGGCAATTCAGGCTGCCCCATGCCAGGAAGACCAGGTCCTCCTTCGAGAGAGACGCTTTGGTTGCTTTGGGAGTGTTCTGATAAGATGAACAAGCTGGGGTGAACTAGATGTTAAGCTAGCCTCAAGGCTTGCTTGCTAACTCCTTTAGGTTTCAATTTGACCCAACTGGCGCCCTTCACCTAAACATTTATTTTCCTCCCAGTACAGTCCCAGAAAACATTAGCTCAGCTTGCCATGGAGCGGTAAGCCACAGCGAGTGTGTCTTGAGTTGCTTTTTAAGAGTAAAACTTGTGCTGTAGTTGTTCACGCTGGCTTTTCCTCCACCTTCTCCCAGCAACTCCGACCACCCCCACCGTCCAGAACGTCTTGATCAACCCCTCCCTGATCGGGTCCAAAAACATCCTCATCACCACCAATATGGTCTCATCGCAGAGCGCCGCGGGCGAACCCAACCCCTTGAAGCGGAAACACGACGAGGAGGAGGATTACGACACGCTATGAGTTCCAAGGGGCTGAGCCCACCCGGATGCCTTCCGCTTCGCAGCGAAGCAGGCCTGGCACCGGAAGCGTTTTTGGCCAGGGAATCAAAAACCGTCTGCGCTTGAAGGTCCACCCTGCATGGACTCCCTTCTACCATGGCCTCCACGCCCTCCTCTCCCATCTCCCGAAAGTGGACTTGGTTCTCAAAGGCCTCTGAGCTGTTTGGAGCCAGGACATCTGGGGGCAAGGTGGGTGGGGGCTGTCAAAGGAGAAACAGATGCCATCCACCCTCCCCTTCTAAAGGACACTGGTTCTGCAGGGATTTCATGTAGACAGGCTCACTCCAGCCCCATAGTTCAGCTTAGAAGGGAGGAACGCCTGGTTATGGAGCTGTTTTATTCAAGGAAACGTGTTTCTTTGTTGTGCGGTTCCTGTGACGTGGAAATCCCACCATCTCCAATGCTCCCCCCCCCCTTTTCCTTGGGGCAGAAGTTCAGCTTTTCCTTTCATTTAAGGTCGTCATCTCTGGCTCAGACTGGGATCTGGAAGGAGAAGCCACCTTCCCAGTTTTGCTTTGCTTTTTTAAGGGGATAGTCACCCCTGGTGTGGCAAAAACCTCTGCAAACAGTTTTGCTCTATTTGCATCACTAAAAAAGCAGCATTCTGTTGGTTTAGGAGTGTCAGGTTACATCGCTATTATTTCTGGCTTTAAAGGAGTGTCAACAACAATACTTCCCTTCTACCCCCCACCCCTTTGCAGGTCACTGCCGTGAACAGTTTCTATTTCTCAGGAGAGCTCTGTTCTTAAATTAAAAGATTTTTTGAGAAGTAATGAACCAGAGGTGTTTGGTTTTCTCAGGGCCAGGGACTGCTTTCCTGTGGGTTTAGGGCTGGAAGGATGTGTTCCTTCCCAAACGAAAGATGATTTTGTGCTTGATTAAGCCATTAATCCTACATATCTTCCCCTGGGGGTAAACCCTACTCAACCCAGCTAATTTACTTCTGAAGACATAAGAGTGGATGGGGACCACCTTGTCTTGCAAGAAGTATTTGATTTTATGTGGGGATTTTATGCACTTCCCAGTTTCAGGATGTAACAGCAATAGAAAAGATTTTTGGGAGGAGAAAAAGCATTATTTTTTTTAGAGAGAATGTATGTTGAAAAGAAAGCCAGGATGTGTACGCGTGTGTGAAAATAGAAATAGCCAAACTGAACAAGAATTCTATGATCCACATTATGATTTTATAAGGGGGGGGCACACTGCCCAAAACATTGGTCCCCATTGCAGTTGAGCAACAGCTGTTTCACTTAGCCTTGGTGTGCTAGTCTGTTACGGAACCTTAGAATACTTGCAAAGTGTGTACAAAATGTGCAGAGAGGAAAATGGGCTTTTGGCTGCACTCTCAGAACAAAATTCAAAGTGGCTTGAGTGTTCTGTTATCACCGGGGACCACATTTGAAACCTGAACATCCCGCTCATGAGAAACAAAATGGGGAACTTGTCTCTTCGCTCTCCTGAGTTTTATCCCACGGCCACAAATGCAGACAGAGCGGCAGTCTGTGCCGGATGCTGCCCACCGAAAACGCGGCCAGTTAGAACAATGACTCGACTGCTCCAGTGTGCACCCCGCAAGGGGATGAGAGGAGTTCTCAGCATGGATTGCTCAGGGAGGTGAACACTGACCCCTTCCAGAAAAGCTGGACTTCACCTGGGCATGGTGGGTTGTTGGCAGTGGTCCGGAAGAGAAGGGGGGGCTGGCCCTCAGACCCTGCCAGGGGCAGGTCTGGGAAGCCAAGGAGTGGGAGACTTCTCTTAAGCCAAACCCTCGATGCAGAGTCACTCGGGAGTTGTAAGCGGCCTGACGGTCCACGCCAAGAACGCTGCCCTGACCCGAGGCTGCCGTGCTAGAGGCAGGCCTGGATGGGCATGCAAGGTGTCTAGCGCACAGCCTCCTCCTCTCCTTGTGGATGCAACCTGGGCTCCTCTGCCAACAGCCACAGGCTGACGTGTCCCTTCTCGACTACTTGGCTCAGGCAGGGTGGCTCTCCCAAATCCTTGCCAGCCCTCGAAGACCGGGGGCTGCAGTGTGAAACCAGGCCGCCACAGTTCAGCCATCGCAGCGTTTGGCTCTGCTGGGGGCTGCTAAGGCTTTCTTGAGGGAAGACTGAAGGGCCTGGCCAGCTCAGCAGGGACGTGCTTGAGAGGGTGTCGCAATGGCTGCTTGGGAGAGCAGGTAGTGGAGCTCCCCTTTGGAAGAGGCCGGTTCTGTTTCCAGGACCTCCCCACTCTAGTGTGTTCCAGAGCGCCGTCTTGGGGTTGGTTCTGTCGGCTTCAAGGGAAGCCACAAAGCCTAGGTCCGCCCGGAGCCGGTAGAAGCCAGCCAGAGAAGGCACCAGTACGTTGCAAATGTTTATTCAAAAAGCCTATACATTCTAAAACAATTCTATACACGCTAAAAGAGCCAGCCGCCTTGCTCATTTCTCCCCTCTCCCTTCCACAAAATCCTCCTTGATCGGAGTGCACCCTGAGAAGAAGCGACTGGTGTTGCTCAGGAGTCGCTTCCTCCGCTTCTTCATCGTTGGCAGCAGGGGCTCGCCGGCCTCCGGGGGGCCCGGGGGCAGGAATGAGGTCAGGGCGCCGTTCTGGGGGGCCAAGACCTCTGGCTCCAGGGTATCTTCCAGGACCTGGTGGGGTGGGAAGACGGCATAGGAGCTGAGCTGAGCTGCCAGACCAGAAAGGCCCACAGAAAGGGATTCTCAACCGTGCCGGGAGCTGGACGTGGCACGTGGGCAGAACAGATTCCCAAATTAGTCTCTGAAGCAGGACAGAGCCAGGGCTGTCTGCATTAGCAGGCGGTGAAAGAAGACTAGGTCCTCCACCACCTCAGAATCTAGTCAGGGGCCTCTGCAGGGAGGGGGATCCAAAAAGTCAAATTGGCAACCATGACCCTGCGACTGAAGGCCTGGTCCACCACCTCGGAATCTAGTCAAGGGAGTGGAGGTACTCTGGGGAAGAACCCACTCTGTTCTTGGCATGCCTCCCCAACCCGTCTCGCTTGAGCGTGCTCCAAAGCACCATGCTGCACTCTGCTCTCCTGTGATGGATGGGTTGCAGTAGAGAGCAAAGTAGAAGGGCAGAGGGACTGGAGACCACACAGTCCAGAGCAGGAAGTGGGAAGCGTAAGAGGTTCAGGGTAGCCACTCCCTAGAATCTCCCAGGGTAGATCCACTAGTTGCAGTAGTACAGATTTAGTCTGGCAGGATTCTGTCTATATGGTGTAAGCAATAAAAGGACGGAATTTGGATGAACTGTTTCCCTGTTGTTCTTGGATTGGGCCTGAAATCTCTGCCTGCTTCAAGAGAGATGGCGGGGAAAAGAGTTTATTCCAGCTTCCCTCTTCAGGCACCAAGTGAACCCCAGGAATACAGTACCCGGGGGTCCTCACAACAACTAGCTGAGAAAATTTGTCTAGAGAAAACACCCTATAGCTACAAGCGTTAATGCATCCTATTTCTCCACACTGCACAACATAACATTCCTTGCTCCTTTCTTTTTCTTATTTTTAAAAAGATCCCCAGTTGGCTAGCTGAGCATCCAGTTCTGGCTTGCTAAACAATGGCCTCCCCCGATGAAAACTCAGAGCCCTCCTATTCCAACCCAGCAGCCTCTTGGGCTGAGCCTCTACCTTTCTTGTCGGTGTGATGTCAGGAGGCTCAAAGAAAGTGTCCCCTTGGGTCACCTGGGTGGGATCTTCCAGGCTGAAGGTGTCTTGGAGACTGCCCATCTGCTCATCCGTAAGCACCCCTTCCTAAGGGAAGAAGAATGGCGGCCATTAGCTAGAAGATCAAGCTCACATCAGCCCAATGATGGCACTTGTTCTGATGAATGGAGTTGGACAAGGAGGGCAAGTCTGGAGACTGTGACAGGCCAAGAGCTCTCCAAGGCTCCAGGGCTGTGAAAACAAACTCCCTTTTCCTGACCAAAGCAACTTAACGACGTCATAAATAGGGAGAGATTTAGCAGTTTAGGGCAACTCTCCTCAGCCAGCTGACCTCCAGATGCATTGGAGCAGAGGCTCCATGGTTCCCAGCTGGCGCAGCTGTGGGATAATGGGACCTGCAATCCAACACACCTGGAGGATGGCAGATTGAGGACAGCCGTGGTAGAGATTTGAGACTTGCCCTCTATTTAGTCAGAGCCAGCCAAAGAACCCACAAGATTATCTTGACATTCAAACTTGCAGATCTGAGCCTGCGACGCAGGAGAGAGCAAACGCCACCAGCACCAGCACGGATGAGACCAAAAGGCATCACGAAGGGACCAGTCAGACACATACGAGGAAACCATTTTTCATGTCCCCAAATTCAGAACCATTTCTTCTCGTGTCGCAGAAAAAAATCCCCTTAGGAAGACAAAGATCTGTTTTCCTCTTGTCCTCAACGGAACACACATTTAATCTGTCAATTGAATCAGTGTGGTTGACCAGCTCCAGATCGTGTGGATTTGGTTGGAACAAACGGCAGAGAATCCACCCTTCTGCCCTCATGTGGCATGCAAGAACCCTTCCAGGGACATACAAACCAAAAGACCGGCTTTTCCTTAAAGCCCCTCATTTTTGACCCGGGCAACGTTAACCAATTAACGGGTCAATCAATTCTGCCCTTTGAATCTCCTTTCAGCAAGTGAATCCCAGGGCTGCAAATGTCAGTTCTGCTGCTGGACAAAACTGCTGCCCCTTTTTTTCTTTTAGCCTCAGAAGCCTGCTCTGCCCTGTAACGAGGCTGACCTCCTCTCTCATTACGCTGCTGCGGGCTGCCGGGCTCCCTTGGAAGAAGAGCAAAGAAGCTTCACCACCGGGAGAAACTCACCAAGACGCAGTTGTCCCGGTTCCGACACTTCTCTGCCTCACAGCGACAATCCTGCGAGCAGGCCAGTTTCTGTTTCCGGCAGCCGCACTGCTTGTTCCCACAGCGGCCTCTGCAGGCGCACTAGGAGAGGAGATTCCCCAGGAGAAAAGTCAGAGAGACACCCGTCCAGGAAAGGGCTGTGATGGGGAAGCACCATCGCCGAGACCCGCCAGGCCCCGTGAGCTCTGGGCTCAGCCAGCCATTCCCCCATGCCAAAGAAAGAGCAGAGGGGCTGAGAAGACAGTGAACTCACAGAAACCAGGTCTAGCGTTAGACAAAAGGAAGGAGTGGTGCTTGAGACGAGTCAAAAGAGAAGATCCCAAGGGCCTGGTGCTCACATAGAATTCCAGCCTGCGGGAATTCTTTCTAGCGACTGAAGGTTAGCATGCTGCCACGTATCTTGATCCCTCCTGGCGATATTGAGGCCATCAGATTACTCACACGTCTTGGCCATTTGAAATCATTTGTTTTATATTTATTTAGTCCTACAATTGATACCCAGAAGTGAAGGTGTTTAGACAAACCTGGCTGGACTGCATTCAGTGGGTAAAGATGGGAATTCAACAAGACAAAATTTCAAGGGTGACTGCAAAACCAGAAGGGAAGGCAAACCTCTGCTCAATGGCTGTTTGCTAAGATGGAAGAAGGGAGCCCCCATGTTCAGAAGCTGTCTACTGAAAACTAGAGGACAACAAATTGTATGGAGTTACTTCCCCGTCACTCTCATACCCCTAAAAAGCTCTTTCTGATTCCTCTGGCAATTTTGGTGGGCACCCACTCGGCATCTTCCCCTTCTTCGTCCAAATCATCTGATTCGGAGAACGGTTCTTCCTCGGCCATCTCAGATTTAGGCTTCGCGTTGGTTGGCCGGCGGGGCTTTGGCTGAGGAAGGTAAAAGGAGGAAGAAACCTGAGCTCCTAGCTGAAGCAGAAAACGAGCAAAGGTAAATGTTACCAGCCTAGGATCTTTCAGACTGTCAGTTTGGCTAAGCCACGGCCAGCCCTGAAGCCCAGAGAAGGGAGCTACAGACTAAGACAATGTTTCTCAACCTCAGCAACTTTAAGATGTGTGGATTTCAACTCTGGGAATTCTGGGAGTTGAAGTTCACACATCTTAAAGTTGCTGAAGTTGAGAAACACTGGACTAAGAGCCGAAAAGGTTCTGAGTGACCCTTTCAACTCTCATCTCCTAAACGTTTTCTGCAAACTAGCCACCCTCCAAACATCTGGATGGAGACTTCCAGAATTCTTAGCCAAGAACAGGGCTGCTCCTAAGTAGGGCCAGTGCGTGGCTGCTGTTTATCGGCAACAAGGCCAATGAATATATTAGAGTTTGCCTATTTCTCATCCCTGCTGACTTGTCCAGGCAACAAGACAGACTTGTGATCCCAGCCACTGCCTCGGTAGGCTGTCCCACAGGACACGCACCTTGGGTGGAATGTAATCAAAGGGAGATTCTGGGGTATCTCTGAGGCCGGGGTCAGCTTTATACATTTTCTGGCCACTGGCAGCCTGAAGAATCTTCAGCTTCTGCAGGAAGGAAGGTGGACAGTGAGTTGCACTGCACAGCAAGAGGCTAAGCTGCCTCCCCGGGCGCTTGAGTCATCCTTGGACCCACCTGCTTGGCGGCTTCAAGCTCTTCACAGAGCTCCTGGTTCTTTTCAAAGACTTCTTTCATCTTGCTGAGCTCTTCGTCCTGCTCACAGAAGAGGAAACGTGTGAGGCCAAGAGCCCTCCTGGGTTGGACAGAGGCCCGGCACTGGGCTACTTGTAGGCGAAGGCTTTTCCAGGGGAGGTTTCCTCTCAAATCTGGCCTCAGTCAAGACTCAGCTGGGCTGAGTTTGGCTCCCTGATGGCCACTGTGGCTTGAGGGTCCCCAAAAGCTCAGGTAAGGGCTCCCAGAGTTCCTCCTGAGTACCAGATTAATGCTTACTATGGCACAGGGGACAAGTTATTAAATCAATATAATAATATTGATTATTGAGTCCCTTTCCATTAAATGGAAGCAAAAAGTGAAACTTTGTCCTGGTTCTGCCCCATTTGCAGCACAACTCTGGCAGAGCCTCTGTTCATCTTCCGGCTCCTGACAGAACTGAACTCTGCTTGGTTTAGAAGGGCAGGGGCTAAAAGAGGCAGCGGTTACTTTTTCCTGTCCTCTCCCTAAGCTGAAAACAGAGCCCTCCAAAGCACTGGTTCCCTGCTTCTTCTCCGGAGCTGCCAGCAAGGAATCACTAGGCCCTCCACTCTCTGCGTGTGGCCAAAGGAGGGGTTGCTGGACTGGCTGCCTGTTGTCCTGAAGTGCTGCTGAGGCCTGCCTGGCTTTAAGGACGTCGCCCCCTGGCCTTTACCTGGAATTTGAGTCGCTCAAGGAGCTGCTGCTCCCGTTCCGAAATGGAAGCTTCGAGCCTTTCCTCAGCTTCTTCCTTGTGCTGGATTTGGCCGAGCAGGTAGAGAATCTGTGAAAGGGGACAGGAAAGGAAGTGGCGGCGTCTGGAAAGTGAAGGCGAATCCAACTGGGCACCAGTGGGATTGGTCCAGTAAGTGCAGGTCCCATGATCCACAGCTTCCCCAGCCTCCCCTTTCTTCTACTGAATGTCATCTGCCCACCAGCCTATCTGGAGAGGAGTCCTTGAGGGTGCCAGACACCCTTCCTGCTCTCTTACTATGTCCTTTCCCTGCTTCCTCTCACTGTTATTAAATGAAATTTACCTGGTTGTCTACTCACTAAGCAACTCTGATGTGACACCCACTTTTCTCTTTGTGTCAAATTTTAGTGTGTAAATTCCTTGGGAAACCCTTTTATGATGCATTCAATTTTATGCATCTTGCGGATGCTAGAGAGACACTAATTCCTGGTCAGGCCATCGCAGACCCATGAGGCATTTGAGGTTGAAGTTGTCATTCCAGGCACACCCAAGACAAACATTCAAACAGGAGATGAACCCTGGATTCCACATACTCAGGACCAAGGCTAGCCCTGATCAAACCATCAGGCTGGTTCAACCACCAAAGGGAGTGGCAGTGCTCAATGGGGCAGAGTTCACTAAGTGGGACACCAAGCCACCATGTTCCACAAAGACCCCCAAGCCTGCAAGCTGAAAAAAGGAGCAGAACCCCATTCCATGAGGCTCTTGCCTTGCTTCACAAAGGACTTGTTCCCAGTCCCCCTTCTTTGCAGGAGATTAGCAAAGGGTGGCTGAACCGGCAACCACTGCCTTTAAAATCTGCTGGCAGGGTCTGAAGGGTAAAGGTTTCTACTTCTGTCTCTGGTAACAAGAGCCACTAGACACCTTTATGGAGGGTTGCTGCAAGGGGAGGGCACCCTACCTAATGCAGCGTTTCTGCAGGGGGAGGGTGTCTTTGACAGTAGGTCGTACCTTCTCCTGATGGTCCTGCTCCACCTGGACCAGCCGTCTCTCAAGTTCCGCTTCCGTGTCGGCAGCCGCCTTCCGCTCCTCCAGAAGCAATTTGTGCACGTCGGCACAGGTGGTTTTGCTCTGCTGAAGGCGACTCTCCAATTTCCCATCTTCAACTTTGGAGGAGACCAGCTTCAGGAGCAATCAAGTCCAGGAGGCAACATTAGAGGAGTTTCTGAGCAAGGTACCTCTTCCAAACCCACCTTTTTCCCAGCAGAGGACATGTGAAGGTTGGACCTCCTCTTGGAGATACCAACTGAGCCACATCTTTGGGACAGACAACCCAGCAAGTCAGTCCCTTGCTCCGTTTCTGAGGGGCCACCGCTTCTCCGTTGCCCCTAAACTTACTTCGCCAATCAGGTACTTGATGGCGCACTTGGCTTCTAGAATGGTGGCAATGCTTTCCCAGCGCTGCTTGGTCCGGTCTCCGGTCTCTGCATCGAGCAACTTCTGTTGCAGATCTGCAATCTGGGCACTCCTTTGGAAGGTGGAGTCACAGAATTGGTGGATATTAACTTGGAGAAGAGGGCATCTTGAGAACGAGGCCACCTCACTCCCCGCTTACGTTCGGATGGTGACAGAGACACTTATGGGGGTGCCGCCAGTCCACCTCTGTCCCTTCAGCCCTTGCCACTCTAAAATATCTACAGCAAAGATTCCATGAACAAGCAGGCAGAAGAAGCAGGCAAAGGTTGAGGTGATAGCAACCAATTTATGAACTTCAAACATCTTACAGGACCGGAGAGTTCCATATTGCCAGAGAGAAAAGGGGCTCTGCAGCCCTTCTGGGGGACAACAGGGAAGGGCCAAGACTGCTATCCTGTCCTGCTTTGGGGCCTACTGGAGGCATCCAGTTGTCATTCATGGCCTTCACTCCAGATGACATACATTCTTCATTCCACATTTGCTCTTTTGACCATCTAAGGGGAACAGCTTCTCACGCTCTCTTACCTGAGCTCCATCTCTGTCTCCAGGCTCTCGATCTGCTTGCTGATAGAATGGTCGATTTCCGCAGCTTTATATGAAAAGGTGCGTCTCTGGGAGCAATGAGAGAGAATTGAGCATCCCAAGCGGCTGAGAGAGGTGGGCCTAATTCCATTTAAAGCTTCAGGAGCATTTTCCTGGGAGGGGAATCACCTCAGAGGGGAAAGCAAGCCCGCTTCTGAAGACCCGCCACATGCCCTGGATTCAGAGGGAACGGCCCCTTCTCCTTCTCCCCCGGCCACTTTCCCTGCGTTCCAATGCTCTGGGAGCTGCTCACCTTATATTTTGTGGGGAGGTTCTCCCCGGCCTCCTGCTTCTCTTTCAGCAACGCAATCTCCTTGGCCAAAGTTTTGCGATCATCCAGAAGGTCATTAAGGTGGTGTCGAGCCTCTTCTATGCTCACAAGGACCTCGACTTCATTCATGAGCCAGTTCTGGTGTGGAGGAAAGTATCTTGGTGCAGGGTCCCCAGGGGAGTCTCTCCCAGTCAGTGCCCCCGAGTTGCGCTGGGGCAGGGACACCCAGTAAAGAGGGCACGCCTGCTTCCCCAGCTACTGGGACCCTGAGACCCAGACCAAGCTAAGGAGCAGAAGGGGCACTGCTGGAGCTTTACCTTCACCCGGGAAGCAGCTCCTTCAAATCCGCGGTTCTGGTTCTCCTTTCGCTTAGTAGCTGCTTCTTGCTGTTTCTGGAGAGCCTCCTTTAAGCGTTTGTTAGCTGCAGCAGCCTGAGAGAGGGACGGGGAAGGTCAGAGTCTTGAAAGGCAACCAGAGATATTCTGATTCAGGCCCTCAATTGGGGAGTGACCAGAGGACAATCTCTCTGTCAAACCCAGGAAGGCCAATCGATGAGTTTTGAGACCAAAGAGGAGAGGAAGATGGAAATAGAATCAAAATAATATTCTCAGCTTCTTGGAAGAAGGGTGGGAGATGGACCATTACAGTTCTGCAAGTAGACTGAACAGAGATTGGTGACATCCTCCCTTCCCGATCCACAGATGAGCCGGGACCCTCACTGACTTGGAAGGCAGCAGTCTTAAAACTCTGGTTTTAAAGCCAAATCCACAAAATTGAGGTGGTGAAAGACAGAAAGGTAAGAAAAGCAGAACTAAGAGGTTGGCAAGAGTGAAGAGGGAGCGGTTCCCTCAGGTCCTATCCCAAAGATCTCCAAAGGTGCCCTTTCCTGTGAGGGAGGTTCAGTTGCTGCAGTTTGCCGAGAGTCGGTGGGCATATAAATTTAATATATTGTTATCATCATCATCATCATTATTATTCACCAGCATTACCATTCCAAGAGCCAGCACACTGGAGTGGTTAAGCTCTCAGACCTGGAGCAGGGAGACAGAGGGGAAAGTCCCCACACATTGGAGGACGCTGAGCAAATCATTCTCTCACAGCCCATCCCACCTCACAAGGCTGTTGCTGTGGGATAAAATTACGGGAGGCCCCAGGTGTGCTGCTTGAGCTCTCAGAGCAAAGGCAGGATACCAGCACCAACATAGCAATTAGCCCAGTCTGGGTATCTTGGAGACCATTTCCCATCTCATCCAAGCCTCGCCCTCTGCAACCCTCGTCATCATTAGCATTATTATTTTAGGACAAAACCCGGAGACTTCTGAAAGAGAAAAGGAGAGAGCGTCCGCAACCCCTCACTTCTTCGGCTTTCCGTCGGAGGACGCTGGCTTGCTTCTGAAAATCTTGCTCCAGCTTGACACGTTCGTACTGCCTCTTGCGATCCTGAGGGCGAGACAAGAGTAGGAAAGGCTAGGCTGGCCGGGCCAGGAGGAGGAGGAGGTGCTCGGGTCAGCACAATGCTGATCCAGGTCTTATCAGCTGAGATGTTGGGACATCATGACCGGGTCAACTTTGAGCAAGAATATGGGAGGCAATCCATATTCTATCCAGTCCAAATCCATTCCATGCCAACCTAGTGATTTCCAGGTGAGTTGGAATATAACTCCCAGAATCCCCAACCTCATGGCTATTGGTTGGAATGCCCAGCAGTTAGGGGAACAGTAGTCCAACCGACCTGGAGGGCACCAGCTGGGGAAAGCTGATCTGTTGTTTTATTTACATAGGGAGAGAAGAAACCCCGCAAATGGGTGAACATTCTCTCTTGCTTGCTATGGTCTAAGGCCAGTGTTTTCAACCTTGGCAACTTTAAGACATGTGGACTTCAATTCCCAGAATTCCCCAGCCAGCATGGCTGGCTGGGGAAT